AAGTGTTGACTGTGCTTGAGGTCTGACCTTATGCTGGGCCTCTCTGATCAAAAGTATAGTGTTTTGGGCCTTTCCCCCTTCAGTGTCTTGGCTTGTGGGTGGCACCATTCTCTCCAACAAAGGCCTACGCTTTGTGGAGGAAGAAGAGATTGGTTATTAGTCTCATGTGACACGTGGACACAGCTTGTAAGTGACTTCAATGTAGAAATGAAGAGCTGCCACTGTTGGTATGGGGTCTGAAGTTGCTCTATACACTGGGTTTCCTACAGCAATGAATGAAACATGGTCCTCATACTCCTGGGGGGAAAAATGGCATCCTGAGATGATGGTGAAAGTGTAGGTCAAGAGCTGTCAGATTGTAAGGACACCAAGTTGCTATCTGTAATATTGAAACTGATGATTCTTAATAGATGAGAGTGATCACTATTGATCACATGAAACGTGGTAGATACTCTCTGATTTTATTAACCTAGGAAGAACAACTCACAGCTCAATATAAGTTATATTCCTATATTGGAGTTTAAACATTGATTCTGGTATCACAATTCTTTACAGGATGGGAGGTGCATGGCCCTTCATTTTGCTGCCACCCAGGGGGCCACTGAGATTGTCAAACTGATGATATCATCCTATTCTGGTAGCACCGATATTGTAAATGCAGTTGATGGAAATCATGAGACCCTACTGCACAGGTGAGTCTCCTCCCTCTCATTCTGGATGCAGATTTTTAGTCTTCCTGTGTTAAATCACACATTGCAAGAGAAAGTCAGCACATAGGCTAGCAAAGATTCTGTGTTCAAAAGAAAAGAAAAGAAATAACAGACTCTGATTCAACTGGAATCTCTTGGAAATTAGAGCGGAATGTTAATTAAATTTCATAGAATAAAATCTTCAGTGGCGTATTCTGGGTCAATTCTAATCCAACGGGTATAGGCTCAGGATGAATTTTCTATATGCTAAGGAAGTCAGCATACAAGACTTTCCTAGCCCTTTCTAATCTGTTCCAAGTTCAATCCTCAAGTGTATCTTGTCCCCATTTTTAGTGACAATAACAGAGCAGATACATATGGATATTCTACCTTTCTAACTGTAATTTCCTCTTCTAACCCCTCAGTTAAAGATTAATGGCTTCAAAACAGATGGTTTTAGGGATTAATAACCAAGTCACCAAAACAAGAAAATTTTCTTTTTGGGAAGACAAATCCTAAAAGCTGCACCTGTGTGTGGAAGAAATAGCTGAGATGAATCTTTCTATCTCTTACACACGTGTGTGCACACACACACAATACGCACAGAGCTGTGAGCAGGCTGGAAGCAAACCTACCTGCTGTGATAGGATATGTATGAATAGAAAGGATTTCCCGTGTACAATGAGTTTGCAGACTAAAATTTTATAGCACAAAGGAAAACTAATATAAAACAACAAAGTCAATAAAAGGTAATTTATTTCCAAGGAAATGGAAAAAAATTAAGGGCAATTTGAAGAGAATTTGAAAGATATTTTAGACCTTCAGATATCAGAGGTTTTTTACATGATTCATCATGTAAGATTAAATATAAGAAGGCAACAGAAGATCAAGAAGAGTAAATTGGCAAGTAGGAAGCCAGGATTGGTGATATGAGAAAGATCCAGTTAGAAACCCTAAAAAAAAAAAATTATATAAAGAGCTGCTGGAATAAAACAATGTAGTAGATGGACTAACCTCTAGACCAGAGATTCTCAAACTGCTGCAGGTTAGAATCACATCAACAGTTTATGAAACCCCATTGCCAGTTAATGCCACAGATTCTATCAGAATCTCTTGGATGAGTCTCAGGAATTTTAAAAAAAATCTTTGATTCCAATGTTTTAGCCAATTGGGAAACCAAGTGAGTTGGTTATAGTTAGGATGTATAACTAGAACACAGCCTTAATATATAATTTTTTTTTTTTAAATGAAAGAGTCTCACTCTGTCACCCTGAGTAGACGTGGCATCATTATAGCTCACAGCAACCTCAAGCAATCCTCTTACTTCACCCTCCCGAGTAGCTGGGACTGCAGTTGACTGTCACAATGCCGGGCTACTTTTTCTATATTTAGTAGAGACAGGGTCTTGCTCTTGCTCAGAGTGGTCTTGAACTCCTGAGCTCAAGCAATCCACCTGCCTTGGCCTCCCCAGAGTGCTAGGATTACAGGCATGAGCCATCGCACCTGGCCAATACCAGTATATAAATATTCTTAAACAGAAATCATTTTAGGAGCATGGGGCCTTAATGTTATAATTTATTCACCAGAATTATTCAATATAATTAATAAATTTCAAATATAATGCAACTTTTTATGAATTTTTGCTGAAAATCTGCAAACTGAGTCTGAAATTCATATACAAAGGGCCAAGAATAGCTAAGATAATCTTGAAACAAAGAAATGAGATTTGCAAGAGAAAGCATAAAGTTTTCAATCATTACCATTACCATTTGTTATGGTGGTGCTTTATTTCGAAACTTTTTTTTTTACAAGATATAATCCAGATTTTTGTTTTCTTTATTTTTTTATTTTTTATTTTTTATTTTTATTGAATGGTAACTATGTACATTAATGCACTTCTGGGGTACAGTGTGGGGTTTTCACATGCAATCTGAAATACTTCCATCACACTGGTCAACACAGCCTTCATGTCATTTTCTCAGTTATTGTTTTAAAACTTTCACATTCTACTCTTAGAAAGATTCACCTGTACCCCTATAAGATAAACCTCAGAAGTGATCCCTCCAAACCCCCTCCCTCCACCCATTCCCCCCTCCCTTCTCCCTCCCCATATTCTTAGGCTATTTGGTTATAGCTTTCACATAAAAGGTATAAATTAGTTTCATGATAGGGGTGTGTACATTGGATACTTTTTCCATTGGATACCATTCCATTCTTGTGATACTTTGCTCAGAAGAACGTTCTCCAGCTCCATCCATGTGAACATGAAGGATATAAAGTCTCCATCCTTCTTAATTATTCCATGTATCTTCTCAGACCATCATGGAATAAAAGTTGAACTCAGTAACAATAGGAATTTGCAGTCTCATACAAAAACATGGAAGCTAAATAACCTTATGCTGAATGATAGATGGGTCAAAGACGAGATCAAGAAGGAAATTACCAAATTTTTAGAACATAATAATAATGAAGATACGAGTTACCAGAACCTCTGGGATACCGCAAAGGCAGTCCTAAGAGGGAAATTTATAGCATTACAAGCCTTCCTCAAGAGAACAGAAAGAGAGGAAGTCAACAACTTAATGGGACATATTTCGAAACTTTTATTTGCTTCATTAATTAACATTATCCTTACAACTGGTTATGAGATGATGATACCCAATGACTTTAATTCTCTCATAATTATTTTTGGCCTCATAAAAACTAAGGAAAGCTATTGCTGCCTTGTTAACTTTTGCCAAAGAGGAAATGCCCCCACATCTCCCAAGAGCGAGCCTTTTGAACTCTGCAGGTGAATTTTAGGCCCACCTTGCATGCAACTGTTGTTATTCCCATGATCACCGTGATACCAGTTATTCCTTTGTCTTTTGTATCTTTTGAATCTTCAGGAAATACATTTATGAAAAGATGAGGAAGAAAATTTTGTGCTGTATTTCGTTCTTTAAAAAGTTCTTTATTTTTAATTATTATAAATACATAGTAGTCATACATATTTATGGGGCACCTATGATGTTTTGATATAAGCATGCAATGTGTAATGATCAAATCATAGTAATTGGTGTAGCCATTGCTTCAAGCATTTATTATTTTCTTATGTTAGGAACATTCCAAATCCATTCTTTTAATTATTTGGAAATACAAAACAATTTATTGTTAACTGTAGTCACCCTATTGTGCCCCTGAACACTAGATCTTATTCCTCTTATCTAATTATATTTTTGCACCTGTTAAGTATCCCCCTTCCCCACTACACTTCCCAGCCTCTGGTAACCATCATTCTACTCTCTGTCTCCAGGAGATCAATTTTTTCTTTCTAGCTTCTACATATTAGTGAGATCGAATGATCTTTGTCTTTCTATGGCTGGTATTTCACTTTCCATAATGTTCTCTAGATTATATCACTTTGAAAATATCACCCTAATCAGATTCGATTATAAATTTCGAAAGCATTTCACATTCCTAGCATTGCATCATGTTAGTCAATGATGAATTAAATATACTTTATGAGTATCATAGCTTTATTTTATTTGTTTGTATTTACATCCATAGTACTTTCGTTATAATGTTTGGAATTCTCTGTTTGTAGAGCCTCATTGTTTGATCACCACGAACTGGCAGACTACTTAATTTCAGTGGTAACTATTCCATCTACTGGTTTATTTTTTTATTACTACTTATAGCTGAAAGACTGTGTGATTACATGCTATGAATTTTCAAGCATAGAACAAATTTTAATTTCTTGCTTATCAGCAAAAGCTGTTTACAAAAGGATGACTGACACATTTGCAAATAGACTGTTACGAATATGTAACAGAGCTAGACTTTATTACTACGAAGTTAGAAATTCCAAAGTGTACTTTGGGTACCCATGTGGTTTTAGCGTGGGGAGTTTGTGGAACTCAAGGAAAGCTCTTCCAGTGTCCTGTGAGTAGGTGTTAGGGGATTGTGGGCTTGGGTGACTCTGCCTTCAGCCCTGGTGGCTTTGAGTGGAGGCATGTGGGCTGAGCTTCTGTCCTAGCTGCCTCAGCACCACCTTTCAGATAATGAGAAACTGAGGAATTGAAAAATATTGTCCAAGGTTCGTTACAAATGAAAGGGGAGAACTTTTTCACTCTAAGAAATGCACTCAGTCAGCTTTTGAGTTAGATTTTTAACAAGCTCTTTGTACAGATGCATGTATGATGGATTTATTTAAACCCTACCATATCAGCAAAGAATGTAGTTCCATTCATATTATTGAACACATGTATATTGTCAGTAGCAACTGTTGGAATTGTGATATTTACACAGAAGGATCCTGGGGAGACTCCTGGTATACCACAGTTCATGCCATGCATGGTTTCCCACAAAGGCAGCCGTATCGTGACCTGCCAGGAGAACTGTGGCTGAAACTCATGGACTGCCACACAGCCCGCTAAGGGGATGCTGCTGCCATCATCTCTATTCAGTGGGCCCCATAAGAACAGGGAAATATCAACAGTCAGAGTTTAAACTATTTTTATTACTCTGTCCAAAGTTTAGAATGCTTTTTAAGTCACCCCCAGGCCTGCAGTCCCTGGAAATTTTTAAAAGCCTTTGCTATCTTACCATATTAAGTATTACAACCATAACACATACTCATTAATGTTACTTATTCATTTTTTAAATATATATACATATAATTTTGTTTTCAAATTCAAATGTTCTCAAATGTTTTACTAAAATTTTACTTTAGAATTTAAAAGATTTCAGTTTAGTAATTTCAGTTTGTCTATTTCAGATCAAGTCAGTATCTTAAAAAGTGAATGGCTCCTAAGAACAGTTTTTACATCACATATGCAATGAATTTGGAAGACTTAAAATTATGGATGCTTACAATTCACTTTTTTTACAATTCATTTTTTTGACAGTGGGACTAAACTATTATTCTAGGTCAAAGGATATTTTTCATAGTTTAGGTAATAATAGAGCTATTGCCAGATGTCAGTACAAAGCCTAATGTGATAATAATTTCGTTGCTGAAATTACAGAAGATTGCCTTGATTTCTGATATTACAACATATAAGATATAGAGACATTTCAAGTAATTTATGATTAGTCTTGTGCATTAGTGCTAGCCATACTATAGACCTTCTATCTCAATGAAATAAAATTTCGAGATTGTAATGTAAGCTGATCTTTCTGTTTGTAAGCTCTTTCTTGAATGACTTATTTTATTTTAGGGTGCAGATGTTAACGTTATTGATTCTGAAGGACGCTCTCCACTTATATTAGCAACTGCTTCTGCATCTTGGAATATTGTCAATTTACTACTCTCTAAAGGTACCAAGGGGGACCACTTTATGCCTTTGAAATTATTACTGAATTTGGTGAAATAAACGTTTATTAATTATCTGTTGTGTGCCAGGTCCTGGGCCAGGTGTTATGAATACAACGATAAACAGACCACTTTCAGTTTAAAATACTTTTCAGTACAGTAAGGGAAAAATATTTTAAAAGACAATTTCAGAGAACAACCGGATATTTTTATATTTAATATTTTTAATATTTTAAAAGACAATTTCAAAAGAACAACCGGTAGTATTTATAAAGCGTTTGTTATACCTTTGGCACTTTTCTGAACATCTTGTCAACTTTCTCTCACTGAATCAATCCTGTGCAATATGGGTACTGTAACTGTCCCCATTCCAGACTACCAGGTGCTACAATAACAAAAAAGCGAGATATCCTCCTCTTAACACCCTCCTCCTACATATTTATATTTTATGCTTTAAAAGGTAAGAGCTCATATATTAATGTAACGCATCACATGTTCTCTACCTAATGTACACACATACACACACACTCAGAGTAAGATAAACCCATTTAAAATATGTTTAATTTTCTCATTGAAATAAAATTTCTTACAAATTAAAGATTAGCAAAGTTTTAAGTATAAAAGACTTTATTACATGGAAATTGTGCCATAGGCCGTACTTTAAATAAAAGTGAGTAGAATTTATATTTATATTGTGCTTTCTGCAGGTGCCCGTGTAGACATAAAGGATCATTTTGGACGTAATTTTTTGCATTTGACTGTCCAGCAACCTTATGGATTAAACAATTTGCGGCCTGAGTTTATGCAGGTAATATATATCTAGGGATTTTCACAAACCGAGTTGGGTTAAACAGAGAATAAACTGCTATTTATTATAACATAGTGAAAGCTGATTCTGGAATTTTAAAATGTTTTAAAATAAAGATGACATTTTGAATATTTAGTTACAGCAGTGGTGGTTTAATGATGATAATAACTGTCACTAATAAATGACACTAATAAATAAGGATACATCGTTAGATTGATTTCCTACACTCTTTGACCATTATGATTTGCTCGCCAGTAGAAAAGCCAAGTGTGTGAGTGAATTAGTGATACTACACATCAATTAGGAAAAAGTACTCAGTGTATTTGACCTGTTGAGACAGGTCCATAGGTCATATGTATATTCAGCAGCTACTACGTACTGAGTGACTATCACGTGTATGTGAAGTCCACCATATTTTCATAGTAAATAAATTTTAATATTGTTACTGTCTTTAGTGATCGAGAACATATATTTGAATACTTCAAACAAAACAAAATGTTAATTGATCAAATTAAGCTACTCATTTGTCATTCACATTTTATTTAACATACACATAAAATGTACAGTCCACCTAATTTTAACATTTCATCCATTTTCGCTAACGAAGCCTAGTAGTATGAAACGCTTAGGTGTTATTGGCGGGAGAGTGAGAGGAGGTGCGGAGGGAGGGGTGGTGGTCGATGTTTGAGAAATGTGGAATAAGTCCATTTTCCTATTGGAAGGATGTCTCGGAGGCTTTAGTGTGGTACTATATACATTATAGGGAGACAGAGCCTTCCACTTCATCCACCTTTATTTTACTGAGCAGTACCCGTTAAGTTATTTACATTTTGCTCTCAAGAAATACATTTGTAGATAACTACGAAAGTTTTAAGACAGACTGTTTTACGGTCCATTATTTCACTTCCAAGAAACACAGTGGACAGCGTCCTTCCCAATTCACCTGAGCACGTTGTATCTGGCTTGACTTATCGGTGTTGCCAGGGGGGCTTCGTTTGTTTCTATCTGGGCAGATTTTATGTTTCTTGATTTTTGTATATCTCTCGACTTGTGTCATGACCCATGCCTTGGCCCTCGCTGGAAAATATTATCCTCCAGAATAGTTTGAAAAACATCCTATTGGCATAAAAGCAGAATTACATGTAGAGTCTTAATGTTCCCCACAGATGCAGGAGATTAAAGAGCTGGTAATGGATGAAGACAATGATGGGTGCACTCCTCTGCACTACGCGTGCAGACAGGGGGTCCCCGTCTCTGTAAATAACCTCCTTGGCTTTAACGTGTCCATTTATTCCAAAAGCAAGGATAGGAAATCACCCCTGCATTTTGCAGCCAGGTAAGGCTCAGCCTGTGTGACCTACGAGCATGTCTTCCTTCTGTGTAATATTTGCTTTGAAAACATGAAACCTAATGTTTTCCAAGTTATGGGCGTATCAATACCTGCCAGAGGCTCTTGCAAGACATAAGCGATACGAGGCTTTTGAACGAAGGCGATCTTCATGGAATGACTCCGCTCCACTTGGCAGCGAAAAATGGACACGATAAGGTAGTGCAGCTTCTCCTGAAAAAAGGTGCATTATTTCTCAGGTGAGGATATATGATTGGAAAGTTTGTGCATTCTGTTTCATTTGCTATTTTAGGCTATTTTTCCATTGTACTTTAAATTTTGATATCTAACATTGTATGTCGCTAATTACTTTTATCCATCTTATGTAATACTCAAGCATATATAACTTCTCAAATATTGAAAGGAAAGTGAGTATTATTCCCAATTGATAAATGAAAATATCAAAGTTTATGGAGTTGAACAATCTTGTTCAAGGTCATAGAATAAGTGGCTTCGTACAGAGCATTTCTTGGAATCTTTGAAATACATTTCCTCCTATCTCATTTGATTGTGTTGCCTCTTCCTGTGTATGTGTAGACACGCACACGCACACACACAAAACCATACAAGTTCAAAGACCCTACTTTTTATTCAATCTAAATGAATCTATGGACATAAAAAGCTTGCTTTCAATGAAAACAAGAGACTTAAAAATTCCTGAACAGGGTGGCCATAAAGTTCATGTGCAATTTCAAACTGCATGCTATTTAAAATTGTACATGAACTTTATCGCTACCTTGTACTTAGAGGAACTCTAATGCAAGAAAGAAAAGCAAGTTAAAATATGGCAGTTTAATAAAATATGTGGCGTAATTAAATGACATTGCTGTGGAAGGAAAAGAACTCTGGAAACATTTTATAGAAATAAGCTGATCCATCTTCAGATTTCACAATGAGCTGATGCTTAGAGATGCATTTCTGTACTGACCTGGACTGATGCCAGAAAATTTGTGACATAATTGCAAAATGAGTATTTTTCTCAGTTCCTTCCCTCTTATAAGAGGACACCAAGCAACAGACCTGCAAAGGGGGCTCAAGTGGACCCAGGCCACACGATTGTTCCTTTATCCCATCCTAACTGGGATAGCAAGGTGGCTCTTTCACCCTAAAATAGCTGCCCACTATAAGTGAAATTAAATTGTGCCAGGATGTTTTCCTGTATCTAATTTGGAAAATCATTACTAATATGATAAAGCTTCATTGTATTTACAACTTGCATTTCTATGAGAAAGGATAAACATTTTTCAAAGGGATTGAGTAAGCATCTTAGAGCATAGGAGACCTGAACTCTTAGAAAAGTAAGTGACACTAAGCTAAATATGGTATAGCCATGAACTATAAATTGTTGTTGTTGCCAGCAATGTCTATTAACCTTAAAGATAAATGCCACCATGGGGACAGATTTTTCAATGTTCAGTGAAAGCATAAGACAAGATTTAAAATGGTGTGTAGATTACAGGTTCAGAAAAAATACATAGGACACCGAATGCTCAGTCTACTTTCCTCCATAACCAAATGTTTGATAATGTGTTTACATA